TTGTCTTATTCGAAAATATTTTGCTATTTCAGCTTTGAAACTTTATTCCTATATCTTTGATCAGCTTTATTACTTGAAGTACAAAGTTATATCTATCTGATACTTGATCTAATAACTTACAAATAAGTAAATAGATTGAGTGGCTCCAATATTTAACTTGTGCTTGTTTAATTCTGATAATTGTTATAAGTCCTGTTAGTCCTAAGTCATTTAGTTTATTATATAGTTCTATTATTTGATTTTTTTTTTATAATATTTAAATATTCTTTAAGTCATGAATCTTTGAATAATGTCTATACTATTGGATATAGATTTGTATAAGTTGCTTTTATTTTTAAGGAGCTTTCTATATGCTATGATTAAAGTGTTACATATTTTCCAAAATAGTATGCTATATTATATATAGAACTTTATTATTGATACAGTATTAGAACCCTATTTAAAATATACTATAGAGCATTTATTTATCAATCAACCTTTTATTTTTAAGGACTTGTGTAATTATGTTGATCTTTTTAAGTATTCACTTTTTTAACTCAACTGCTATCTTTTGATTATCAGTTCAGATTCTCAGGAATCTTATATATTTGATTTTGTCTAGCTTTCTAACTAGTTCACTATTTATTTCAGCTTTAATTTTTTTTGAATAGTAATTAGAATTATTAATAATAATCAGATTTATTATTATTGATTTGTGAGTTATTGATTTTATAAAAGATTCTTGCTTTTTTAAAATCTTTTTTATATCTTCTTTAGATTTTACAGTATTGCCCATATAATATTATCCATGAAGGTGATAGTTGCATGCCTATGTTTCAATTTTTTGTTAACTCCCTCTTCTTTTGGATTTAGATCCTAGGTGATCAATATTTAATATATATTTGCTTTATCATTCTGAATTTTATACAACAAAGTGTCATAAAAATTTTTTTACATTAGAGATAAAATAGTTTCTCTTTAAACAATTCTATTTCTAATTATTATAGATCTTATAAGCCTATTTTTGATTATAATTCTAAATTTTCTATACTGAAACAGGCCTATTATAATCTTAATGAATCCTTCTAGAAGTTTAATTTTTTTCATAGCCCTTGTTAATATGTCCAAGCTAATTGTATTATAGGTCTTGACTATATTTTAAAAGAGTATCTACAACTCTTTCTTATTTTCTCTTGCATTTTCACAAATATTGTTGGGAATCTGGATCAGTTCTATAGTAATTTCTTTCAATAGTTCTACAAAATTAAAATATCTCAAAATATTGTTAAGTTTGTTAATATTTTCTAATCTACTTATTAAATTTTAGTGAAACATTTTTTGTAACTTCTAGTAATATGATAGATATTATATTTATTTTACTATTGAATAAATATAACTTTGTTTCTAATCAATAGATATAATCTGTTATTTTAAAAAAATGTCTAATATTTTTTATAAATATTCTTTTTCTTAATTAGTTTAGTCTTTAAATATTTCATAGTTGATTTGAAATTTTTCTGTGACCTTGTTATTGAAAAGCATTTAAAGTGTTTCACCAATTCTTCTTGTAAAATATAATTTAAGAGATCTTTATATCACCATGCCTTGATATAGTTTTGGAATTATATTTTTCTTTTCAATTATTAATAAGATTATCAAAGTTGGCCTTTCACTTTCTGAAGGTTTCTTAATAATATCTTCTAATTTCTTTTTCAATTTCACTTTTTTTAATTGTGATATGTTTGAATTTTTTCTTTTTAACTTTAATCCTATCTAAAACTATTTTAATACACACTCTCTTTATTAGTAAACTTACCATTCTTCTTTACATATTGATAAATAAATATGAATTTTAATTTTTTTAAAAAAAATAAATTTGCAAAATAGTCAAATTTTAAAAATGAAATTTAAAATATTTATAGTATTTTCTTATTATCCGGTAATTAAATTCAACCAATTTTTTTTTAAAAATAATAGCTTATGACATAAGTTTTAAAACAATATTTTTATATTAAATATGATTATATATTAATAAAAATATAAGTATTTTAATTTTTTTTTTTAAAAAAAATCAAACTTATGAAAATAATCAAATTCTAAAAATGGAGTCTAATTTATTTATACCATTTTTCCATTATCTAGTGATTAGATTTAAAAAATTTTTTAAAAATGTATTATATAAAAAATACTAAAAATAAAAAAAAATTTTTTATCTATAACTTTTCAACAAGAATAATATCAAATTTTTTTTTATAAAATTGTTAACGATATAGTTATCCATATACAGTGTGCAATACTCACTTTGAAAATTTTTTAATTAATTATAATTTAATAAAAAATTTTGTCAATAAAAAAAATTTATTACTGCAGTATAAACTAAATAACGCCCCTGAGCGTTATTTAAAAATAAATCCTTTGTCTTGAAATAACGTACTCGAAATTTCGTTCCCATTGCTGTAATATGCAGTGTTTATTATAAATTCTCACATTTTAAAGAGGGCTGACTGAATATAAATTTAATATGTACTCGCGGCAGAGTAAAAGGTGAGACATTGGCCGTACGTAATTAAGGTTTGTTTGTGTATTTCTATGCAGGGGTGAATCCCATGAAGAATGGCTTTAAATTTGAGCCACAACCCGAGCAACAAACACTCAGCATCCCCAAGTTATACTCGTGTATGCTCTTCCTTCGATAAGCTTATCTTGAATGAAATCAATACAACAACACTTTAGTGAACCAGACAGTAGTACAATGCGGCTATGGCTTTTCCGTAATTTCTACATAACAAAGCAACATCGTATTTAGAGATGGCTTATCCAGTATGAAAATTATTCCTTTGTTCTTCGAAGTTTTGAGTCCTTGTATCGTGCTCCATAGTAAGCCGGTTTTGTAAAGGTTGCACGGACTTCGCTTTCTTCCAGAATATCATATTTCCTGGTACCTGTGGTCAATAATTAGGACTTGACTCTTTCTTTTGGTAGATCGCTCTAACAGTGAATCTCGATCAAACCTGTTATTAATATTTATTATTAGCGTGTTGTCCGGATTAGGACAAAGAGAAAATAGGATGATCGGAATTTATTGGCTTTTTGTTTCATCAAATCTTGACAACACACTAGCGTGTTTTCTAATCATGTAAAACTGAAAACCACGTATTCTAATTTAGGGAAAGTTCATCTAGATGCGTGTACCCGCATCCCCAAAAGGTTTATTTATTTATTTGATTTTTTTTTTTTTTTTTTTGAGAATTTTCTATTTGCTCGGATGAGACCAATCATCGACAACATTGTGTTTCAAGTGTGAGGTTTCCGCACACGTCCTATACGGTATACAAATTATTTATCTAATAGGTTTCATACTAATTGCAGTATTCAAAGTCATTTAAACAAGATATATGTTAACAGTTTTTCTCACGTGAGAGTTTTATACATTTACGGTATACGTGAAAATAAGCACAAAATAAAGGAAAATTTGTCTCGCGCACAAAAAATGCGGGAAAAATCGTTTTTGGCATACACGTTTGCCGAATTGTTCATCAGCATTGGTTCGGCAATGCACGGTGTCACACTTTTTGATGTCACGAGTTGTTAATGAAATTATTAAGTGGATTCTCATTGGGTCAGGGGCGCACCGTACCACATATTAATTGTTGGCGATAGCACAAATTAAGCAAACAGCATTTTTGAACCGTGGGCAATATGACCTAATTGATGCGAAAATCGTTATGGTTTAGATGTTGAGCAACGATCCAAAGGTTTCAGTTGTCAAGGGTTAATGATGAAAATTGACGAACAAACTTTGGACTCTCCCTAAGGAGATTGGATGCAGATTTATTTACCTTTGCGAGTGATCCAAACCGGTTCGCCGCGCACACGCCGATCACCTAAATTCAATCTATGCGCCTTTTTAGGAATTGTCCTGTATTCCGGAAGAAGGATCTTTTTTCTGATGCGTAATTGAGATGAAAATCGGAACAAGACTGAATGAATGAAGGAGAAATAAAAAAAAAAAATTTAACAATAAAACAATAATAAAAAAGGCAGAAGAAAGAAAATACAGGGACAACGACAACGAAAAAAAAAAAAAAAAAGGAAAAAGGATCGGCACCACAAAGACTCGCTAAGAAAGACGTTGTCGGAATTCTGATAGGTTCCTTATTGATGTGATCGAGATTGATGCCGCAAAGCTTTAAGGCATATATTCCTTATGTCGAACATTAGATGCAGTGCATGGCACTTGAATTCCACTTTTCGACTAAGATTTTCGCACCTTAAAAATAATGAAGAGTCGGAGTTTGTGGTATAGAGTGAAACGCATAAATTAAAAAAAAAATAATTAAGGTACGCAATAATTCAAAAAATTTGATGAATGAAGCGGTAGTATGAGTTAGTGCGTAGCGTATAATTTGATAGGTGGTTCCACAAAGATTTAAGAACCACTGGCCTTTTTCTCAAGTGTTAACAAACAGATGGTGCAACGTTTCTTTGTGCTCGGACGTCGTCCTTGTAATGCGATGGAGCCATGCTTCCCCATATAGTTTCCAATCTAGTGAACAAGGCTCTGGCTCATCCTAATATGGTTACTGCCAATTAAATATAACAAAGAAAATTTTTCATGGACCTTGTGTTCCGTCCGAAATTCATTTTAATAGCACCGATGAACCGTCCTTCTTCTCAACTTCATTAAAAGCGCTCTTTGAACTGAATAACTCTGGAGAATAGGAATATTCTTTGGTAGTTTAAAACAATCACGCAATTTTCCGTTTTGGTTAATTTTAAACTTCCAAAAACGTTCCTTCTTTAATTTAATCGTATAAAAGATCTACTATTATTGCCCTACTACACCCTTCACATCCTCTCTTCCCATTAAATTCGTCTTGTAACGAATACACATACACCATTACTTTCACGCTGGCGTGTATTATTCATTTTTCAATTTTATTTTAAAGAAAATTTTCGTCATACACGATCCTCATTTTGTTTCACGGTTTTTTGACGTCCGACCCCGCACAAATTAAAAAATGACTCGTATCACGCCCATGTTCCTTCCTGTTCTCCTTTTATTCATTTCGCTTTGCGCTAACGTTCAAGCTAGTTTGACTTTACAAGAAGATATCATCAGTTACTCAGATGCATCGACAGTGAGTCTCACCTCTGCACCCAATGGTGCGATCGATTACACCTCCAATAATGATGAAATTGAAAATACTCCCGAACCTGCAAACGGTCTTACGGTAAGCCAACGTCAATCTTTCTTTCCTTCTTCGTTCCTGTTGCTGTACTCTCTTTTTGGTCATTTGTTTGTTTTTTATTTATTCGCTTGTGTGCATATTTATTATTATCAGGGAGTTCTGTTCGGCATTTCGGGAACATGTTCACAGGATGGTGGCAGCAAAACCATTCCACCATTGTCGGCCATTCCATCAAGCGTTAACAGTTCAAGGATCGCCTTCTTTAAGCTTGATAGTTCCTGTTCCATCTACGAACAGATATTGAATGTACAAGAAGGTGGTGCAATTAGTGCGATCATATACATAGAAGGTACATCTTCTTCAAATGGAACCTCGACCACTGTCACACCGAGCGGCATAAAGATTCCTGCAATTGGTATTAATGCCGACACCTTTAATGCGTTGACAAAGACCTTGAATGATACCGCTGGCCAACCATCACAGTTGGTCCGCATTGTGATAATCCCTTCACAAGGAGGCTTCGGTAGTGCATGGCAAATTGCCATCATTGTTATTGGTTCATTGCTTGCCATATCCTTCTTGATTTCTGGTAAGTTGAAATTTTATAAATACCACGGACATTTTTTGGTTCATACCTCAAGTCAGCAGCGCGACTAACAACAAATACTTTATTCATCCACCCAAACACTTGCACACTCATTCATTCTCTTGTTCATACACATAACACATATTGTATACACTCATACACACACTTACTTATACATACACACATATATACATAAACAAATTAAAACAAATATATATATATATAAAATAAATCATAATAAAAACAAAACACCACCCACCCACCAACAATCTTTCAAAATTGCGAAATTAACAGTCTTGATTCATTGTCGCTTGTACCAACTCAGGCGACGCGAACGTAACACTATGATTGCCCAACAAGAAGCTAACGTTAATGCCAAGTTACAAATGTTTACGTTGGAGAAGTCGGTTGTTAAAACTTTCCCAACTATTGTCTATCGGAAAAATGGTGATAGAAGCAGGGACCCGTTTGAATCGATCGGATCTTCTCTCGCCACCGCCGCCGGATCATCGAAGAGTGATGACCGCGCCACCGATGTTTGTTCAATTTGTTTGGAAGAGTACGAAGATGGTGAAACATTAAGGAAATTACCTTTGTGCTCTCACAAGTATCACAAGGATTGTATTGGTAAGTGGCGACAAAATTTTATTCATCCACTGGTTGTCAGTCAATCACAATCACAAATTCTTACGCACACGTGCACCTCACTATGTATACATGTAGATCGTTGGTTGACCACAAAGTCGTCTCAATGTCCCCTGTGCAAACAAGACTCGACACCTCTGGAAGTCGCCAAGAAGAGGGAAAAGAGATATGTTCAAACCGTGGAAGTACAAACCAGACTTGATTCCATCTACAACACATCAAACAGTCGCGGCAGCAGCCGGGAAAGCGGCGACATGGGAACTGGTTCCTCGAAATTCGGACGTTTTCTCGACATGCTTGGCTACGGAAATTCTGATGACGTTAATGTTCACGTGAGGCCAAACGGCGAAGGTTTATTCGCAGTTCAAGATCTACACTCCCGATCAGACAACATGAACCGAATTGTGTAAGAGATGATAACATGGTGATACTTACGTATCACAACAAAAAACAAAATGGTTTTTTTTTCCTCATCTCTTGGAAATCCACCTATCTTCTACAACCGCAATTAATTTTGGCATTTCTATCATTCCCCTTGCATTAATTAGCACGCATATAAATAGATTTATATACAAAAGCATTCGTGTACATGATATACAGTATTACTGTTCATAGATATACATACATTTTGCATTTACACGTTTACAATCACACCCATCACTCATCCTTGCATCCTCACTAAGCATTCACACGATGGTCCTATCTATCTCATTAGGGTTTTCAGATGTTACTATCTTCTGTAGTTATATATATATTTGTCACACCATAAATTCTCCTTCACCCACTTTTCGCCATCACCTCTTCCTCTCCACATACATTCCGACCCCTAACACATGTGTATTTATTTATCTATCACTATCCTTTATTCTTTATAATCTACATTCATTTGAAATGATCTTTATAATATATACAGTATCTTGTAAAAATTTTATATTGAAAAATAAAAGGAAATATATGATACATGCGTTTATCAAAATATTACAGTGCGAACGATGTTTAGTAATGACGTGCGTGACGACAATGTCCTTTGCGTAATACCGTAGTTTGGTTTACACGTAAATGTAACGTAAGAATTAACGCAAAGAACAAACACTAGGAATTCCCGGGATTACGTTTTATGTACGTAATTACTGTATTTATTGCATTATAATTAAGTTTATCTCGAAAATACAGTATTTTTCGAAAATTTGACAAATTTTCACAATTCTGAATATAAAAAGTGAATAAAAGTACGTATTTAAACAACAAATAATTACAGTATATGCAGTAAATAACTATTTCTATTCTTTATTTAAATTGGTCGATTTACAAATGTATATATATTTATTTAAGATACTGTATAATAACATAACATTTAGTCATAACAATCGAATGAATGAATATTCATCCCGAAAAACTTTATATTAAAAGAATCCTTAAATTGCAAAATAATTCTTATGAAAAAAATTTTTTTTTTTTTTTTACTAGTTGAAGTTTTTATTTATTCAATAAATAAATCATTTTTTATATAAAATACAGTATTTAAATAAAATAGAAAAAATCAACGATACCTTTTTGTGATTTAAAAAAAAATCGATATCTAAAGTTTTTCCATAGCAAAAATTTTTTTAAATCTGTAAATAATTATTAAAATTTATACGTTCTTATTAAGTACTTGGTATATATTTTTTAAATAAATTATTTATCTTAACAATGGTTCGTAATATAATTAACCATTATGCAACTTGGATATTTACATGATTTTAATTGTTTTTAATTAATTCATTATTTATTAACTTATTATTATCAATTTAAAATTTAAAAATTGAATTATAAACTTTTGATCGGGTTTATCAAATATTTTGTAAAAGTCATATCCAATCATCTGAAAAATTATAATTATTTTTAATTAAATTTTATAAAGATAAGACTTCGAGCTTTCCATCAATCTAGTACGAAATCTATAATTATATTATTAAAAGAATTGCATTAAAAAAAACTTTTAATTTAACTAATTATACATATTTACCAATTAAAATGAAAGAAGTAAAAAAAAAAAGGTTATATAGAAATTATTAAAAAATAGATTTGCCATAACAACAAATATTTAGGTTTTAAATTGTAGATAGAACTTAGAATGATTTACAGTAATAATCTGTAAACAATGATTTTATTGTTTTATGATTAATTTAAATTAGCAAATAAGTTAAATATTATTTTAAAGTTATATTTAAAGAATTGATTTTTCTATAATAGATAAGTTCATATATAAAAGTCATTAATTTTATAAATATCTAATATATATATAATTCAAAATATTATATTAATCTAATTTTTTTTTAAACCTTTTATTAAACTACATATTATACACTAAATATGTACAGTATATGAACTTATTTATAATATGTAATCCAATAATTAACTTGTATAATGTAAAAGCGATCACCTTGTACTGGCATATTATAAATAAAAGACATGGTCTACACTTTATATAGATAATATTTGCTCCCGATGCAATCTAATAGAAGACAATTACCACTCTTTTCTTTATTAAACTATATCACAAGACCTTATTGCACACGTAAACGAAATTGCAATCTACACATGCAAAGAATACATTTATCCAGCAATGAAAAGCAATTATGTTCAAATAATCCAATAACAAATGTCCTTAAAAACACCATCTGAACTCAAACTTTTTATTAAAGGAATACTATTTAAGTTGTTAATATCAGCCATATACAAGATTACAACAAATTCTCAATGTATCAAAG